AGTAGCTGCAGTTCCTCTGAGTGACCTGGACTGGAGCCTGGGGACAGTGTGTCTCAGGGCAGTGGCTCTAGATCTGGCTGGGTCACAGACTCTCTGTTGGGTATTGATGGTGGCCCCCTTTTCCCTGCCTGTGATAGTAGCTCCTGTCAGGACTTCCCTGCAGAGACCACAGCTTCTCTTTTCATCCAGGCCAGGGTGAGGCCAGAGGTGGGGACTCTAGCCTGTGGTTGGCAGGAGCAGCTGTTGAGGGGCAGGTGGGGCTCTATCCAGGAGCCCACAGGCTTAGCAGGCCCTGGTGCTGTGGGGGAGAGGGTGGGCTGCCAGAATTCACAGCCGGCCCGGGAGAGGAAGGCAGGCATTCCTAGGTCTCCTAGTCAATGTATTTCTGGCTGGGAACCTGGGGTGAGAACCTTAGATTCCTAGGAATGTGGATCATGAGAATGCTTGTTTGAATCTCTCTCCCTGGGAAATAGATCTCATTTTACAGATGAGAAAAACTGAAGTGCAGGAAGGTCAAGTTCCTTGCCTAATGTCACAGCTTGTGCACTGAGTATTGAAGCTGGTTATCAAATTTACATCTTCCAAAGGCTCTGTTCTGTGCTCCATATGTCTGCTCACCCTCTATTGGCCTAAATAGGGTTTTGTTCATCCATACAGCAACTTAGCCACCCAGCCATCTTTAGGAGGCTGCAGTGCACCACGGGAGAGCGCTTGAGGTGAGTTTGTGTCTCAGCCTGACCACTGGCCTCCTGAAGAACCCCAGACAACCTTGTGCGGTATTCAGTTTCCCCACGGTCAGCTGGAACCATCTTGGGAGTCAGGTAAGGGATTCCTGTTTCCCAGAGGGCCCTAAATAACTGATTGCAGAAAGAATGAGATAGTCGAGAGTGCAGAGTAATGGGGAGTGGTGGTCTCTTTGAAAAGATGGAGAGGAGGATGTAGGGGGTTGTAGGCAGAAGTGAAGATTGTGGTTTGCTCCTGAGAAAGTGGCTGGAAACCACAGCTTCTATTTGGGGTGCTTGGGGGAGGTGTCACTTCTGCTTTGCCCTTAATTTCTCCAGCTGGGTGGTGAGGTTAAGCCCCTCTCCCCTCTGAGTCTGCCTGGGAGCAGCATGGCCAAGGGCCTGGGGACCCAGCCTTCCCGTCCAGACCCGGGCAGTCAAATCCACACCACTGTCTGGGCCTCAGTTTCTCCATTCGTACCGTGAAGGGGGTGGACATTTTCCGCACTGTCAGCTTCTCAATTTTCTCACCTGAAACATTCCAAACAGTTTCATTGAGTGGCTTCCTTTGTCTTCCCAAATCTTTTCCCTTGGTCTGAGGTTCTAAGAGGGTAAGCGAATTGACCAATGTAACACAGCCAGATAAATAACTTAATAGCCAAAGAAATAAGAACTCAGCATTCCACGACTCCAAAGCCTTCATTCTCTTTTTGTTTGTTTGTTTGTTTGTTTTGGGGGTGGGGGTGGGAGGTTTGCTTTAGTTTTGGTCATTCTCTTTTAAAATAAGCGCTCATATTAATAAATAGTGTTAACGTAAATGGATGACCACCAGGAGAAAAAAACTGACTCCATATTTCACGCTCCAGGATCAATGCAAATGGACTGTAGATTCCAACGTGAAAAAACGAAACCTTAAAAGTTCTACAAGAAACTTAGGAGAATTTCTGTGTAATGTTGGAATGGGGAGAGTCTTTCTAGCTACAACTCAAAATCCAGAAGCCCATAGAGAAAACACTGGTAATTTTCATCACGTAAGAATTTTTTTATTTAAAAAAGACCTACATGGCAAAAAAGACCAGCTATAATGTCAAAAGGCAAATGACAAACTAGGAAAGATATTTGCAACTCATATGACAGACAAAGAGCTAATTTTCCTATTATGTAAAGGGTTTCTACAAGTTGGTAAGGAAAAGTCTAACCCAATATAAAAATGGGCAGATGATGAACCTGCACATGTGGGGAATTGATGCAAATACCAGCACAGCTGTACAGTTTGTAAGAGCAAAAGACTGGAACCAGCACAAATGGCTATTAACAGGGAACTGGTTAAAGAAATTGTGGTTTCTCCCTACATCAGACTGTGCAGTTGTAAAAGAAAAACTGGAGGCTCTCCAAGATGCGTTTTCAGGTGAAAAAAGCTAAGGGCAAAACAGTATATAGAGTGTACTGCTTTTTTTTATTTATAACATGGAGGAAATCATATTTGCTTGTATTTGTGTGAAGGAACCGGGAAAGACACACAAAACGCTAACAGCAGTGGTTCCCTGGGAGTGACTAACTGGGAACCCAGTGGTTGTGCGACACAAGAGGCAGGAATACTTTGCATTTTATACCTTTTTTTATGTATTTACTGTTTGTACTTGAAAGATTTCAATTTATTATTTATTATTTATTATTTATATTTATTTTTTAAACACGTTTTTATTGAGTTATAGTCATTTTACAATGTTGTGTCAAATTCCAGTGTAGAGCACAATTTTTCAATTATACACGAACATACATATATTCATTGTCACATTTTTTTCTCGCTGTAAGCTACCACAAGATGTTGTATATATTTCCCCTGTGCTGTACAGTATAATCTTGTTTATCTATTCTACGTTTTGAAATCCCAGGAAAGATTTCAATTTCTAAACCATCTGAAGAGTAAATAAAAATTGAGAAATATATGTTTATAACATATGGGGTAACTTCATAAACATAGACAAACAACACAAATTGGCCCAGAATCTCACCCTCCCCTTCCCCCAGAAATGACCTTGATGTGCATCTTCCAGATTTTGCATACATAAAAAATACAGTTTTTACAAGGATCGGGTTACATTACTTTGCAACATTCTTTTTGTTTTTTGTAAGCAATATGTCACTATTATTTTTTTCTATAATGATTAATAGTCATTTGGAGTATTATTACAAAAACCCTAAGCATTAAAAATTTTGCTTTTCTGTTGTGAAGGTAATACATATTTTGTTGTAGAAGATTCAAACAATACAGGAAACATAAAAAAAGAAAATTACCCTTCCCATAACATTATGAACATTTTGGTGACCATTCTCCTATGTATCCTCATAGGCTTGAATATGCATATAAAGATAATTTTCCATAAATATGATTATATTATACATATTATTTTCAATGTGCTCTTTCCACTCTATATGCTGTGTTCCTCTTCTATGTGGCTATCTTCATCATAATTTTTCTTAGTGAAATGGCAATCCATTGTACTGTAATTTTTTAACTTTTGATTTTGAAAAAAATGATAAATTCTCAGGAGGCTGCAAAAAAAAAATACGCAAAAAAGGTTTTGTCTACCTTTCACCCAGTTTTCTCCAATGGTAACCTCTTGCATATCTAAAGCACAATATCAAAACCAGGAAACTGGTACAACTCACTGCCTTTATTCAGATTTCATCATTTTTTTTTGCCTTCTTACTAATAAATGTTTGTTTGTTTGTTGTGTGTATATATATATATTTGAAGTACAGTCAGTTTACAATGTTGTGTCAATTTCTGGGGTGCAGCACAATGCTTCAGTCATACACGAACATACATATATTCATTTTCATATTCTTTTTTAGTGTAAGTTACTACAAGATATTGAATATAGTTCCCTGTGCTATACAGTATGAATGTGTTGTTTATCAGATTTCACCAGTTTTTATGCACTTATTTATGTGTGTCTGTATGTTTAGTTCTATGCAATTTTACAAGCGTAGATTCTTATAATCACCACCATAATCAAGATACAAAACTGTCCCATCACCACAAGGCTCCCTAGTGCTGCCTCTTTACAGACACACCGCCCTCCTCACCATTGGCAACCGCTAATCTGTTCTCCATCTCTATAATTTTGTTGTTTCAAGAACATCATATAAATGAAATCATATAGTATGCAACATTTTGATGCGAAAGACATTGTCACTTTCTTTCTCCCCCTTAGCATGATTCCCTTGAGACCCATTCAAGTTGTATGTAACAATGTATTTTTTTACTTGCTGAGTTGTATTTCATGTTATGGGTGCACCCGAGTTTATTTAACCACTCACCCACTGAAGGCACAGTGGGATTGTTTCCAGTTTCGGGCTGTTTCTTGGAATGGTCAGTTCTTCAGAAAAGGATTTTCTCCTGCCTTGGAGTATCATTACCTGGCTGCTGCAGTCTTCTGGAAGCTGGTTGAAGGAGGAAATGGAGAGGGGATGTGGCTTAATTTTCCTGCACTAGAAAGGCACCCCACCCTTTGCCTCAGATTCTCTGTGGTGCACTGTCTCCAGGGAAGGGATGAACTTTGTGTTGAGGTGGGGTTGGGGATGGAAGGGTAGTGCGGAAGGCTCCTGGATGCCCTGGGGGGCAGAGGAGATCCAGGAACCCAGCTGGTCATTTAAAGACTCACAGCCAACAACCCCTTGTTTTTAGCCTCACCCTTCATCTCACCTTCAGAAGTTCCCGATGCCTCCAGTTCTCAGGTGCTTCTATGGTCGGCAGGTTTGACCTAGCGGGCTTCTTCCTGCCTCCCAATGCCCCCGACCCCAACCCCACACCTCTGCCCACTGCAGGCACTTGGGCTCAATGTTTTATGATCTGCTAATTTTTTTTTTTTTAACGAGGTGGCCACCTGCTTTGTAGCCTCCAAAGTTTTGCTGGCATCTCTCATCTGCTGTTGTCTTCTTTCTCTTTTGTGACTTTGTGTGTTTTATTCATTCACACTCATTTTAGTGGCATTTTGGGAGGCAGACATACATTTGCTATATTTAAGCAGAAGTTTATTAGTTCATTTTAAAATCAAGGAAAATGGAGGGAGGGTATAGCTCAAGTGGCAAAGCTCAATCCCCGGTACCACCATTAAAAAATAAATAAATAAACCAAATTACTGCCCTCCCCCCACAAAAATAATAATAAAATAAAACCACAGAAAATGAGAACAGAGTGGGACAGATTCTTGCCTGAAGTCACGTGGTGGATGAATGACAGGGCTGGACAGGATTAATGACAAGCGTCTCCCAGTTTTCCTCGGGGTGAGGTCAGAGCCCTGGGGAGGCCCCTAGAGAGACCACTTTTGGGGAGGGGGAAGTGTCTCAGGCAGAGCTGCAAATGGCAGGCATTACCAAATGGTCAAGGATTCTGGAGTCACAGAGACCTGGCTTCAGGCAGCCTCAAGCAAACCAAGACCCCTTGTTCTCTGAGCCTCAGTTTCCTCATCTGTGAAATGCAGGAGTATTGAGGATCAAATACAATACTGCACGTCCTGATCTTGGGATATGTCAGACACCCAGAGTTAGAGGCCGCTATTTTACCACGATGCCGATGGGATGCACCTTTTCCAGGGCGGGAGCTGGTTCTTGGAGGAGACAGAGCACAGGACATGGATCACCATGGGGTCCTTTTCCTCTGCCTGTGCCTCGTGACTTCTCAGAGCAGGACAGTGGGTAAGAGGGCTGTGCTGAGCTGTGAGGGCAATCCTAGCCCAGGCCTCTGGCTGTGATGTGAAGGGGGAGGCCTGAAAGCAAGAGAGATTGGAAGGGGGCACTTAGGTCTCCTGGGGCAGCAGCAGGCTGGGGCGGAAGGCCCAGAGGCCATGGGCTGGGGGCAGCTGCGGACAGAGGCTGAGGCGGTGGTCTGACTCTTCCCACAGAGGCGTCTGAAGAAACCCTGCTCTGGATGAAGAGAATGGAGATGGTGACCAGGAGCCGGAGCTTGACTTCTTTTGCTGAGTGAGTTGGGTGTCCCTCCTCATCCTCCCAGAGTCAGCTGTGCCTCCACCCTCAGCTTGCACCTTGAATCAATGATCCGGGGTTGGTCCAGTGTAGACTGTAAATTCATCTATTCAGCATGCATTTATTGAGTACCTAGTGTGTGCCCGGCACTAGGCTCTGGAGATGCATGATAGACACACTTCTATCCTCATCAAGTTTAGTGTCTGGTTGGGGCCCTTAACCATGGATGCCATGAAACCAGGTACAGAATCGTGGGTCTCCATGCATTTTTCTAAGAAGTGTCTCTGAGACTCAGGTTGGGCTCTCCAAGGTCTATGACCCAAAGGCCAAGCAGTTCTGGGTGAGAGGCCAATGCTGATGGCTAACCAGGGAAGCACGGGGACCGTAGGGCACTTTAGTCAGCCAGAAGCAGCCAGGGAAGGCTTCCCGGAGGAGGCGTTGGCAAACTGGTACCCAAATGAGAGTTAACTGGGAGAAGGGGATGGGTGGGGTGGGGAGGTAAGAGTGTCAGGAATACTGTGTGTGCAAATGTCTGGAGATTAGGGTATGGGATAGGGGAGGCTGTGGAGAGCCCCTCTCACCTCCATCCTCAGTCGGGCTCTGGTCATTTCTCTTGCCTTCAGGCTCATCCACGGCCTGGAGTGTAGGCTGCTCAACGCCAGCTTCAGGGGCCACAACCTCACTTTGCAGACGAACACCATCCAGACACTGGCCTTCAAGCTGGGCTGCGATTTCACTGGCCTCTCACTGAGCAGTGCTGCTCTGGGGCGGGTCCCCCAGGTCAGAGGTGGCTGGGGATGGGGGTGGCCAGTGCCTCCACCCCAGAAATCCTCCACGGGTTTAAGGTCTGGACCTTCCCCAGGGTCCATCACCCTCCTCCCCGCCAATCCAGGCTCTGCTCTAATAGCTGTGAATTTCCTCCTCTGTAATATGGAGCTGATATTCTTCATGTGAATGACGGAAAAGCGATGCTTATAGCCCCTCAGAAGCAGCATCTTCTTTCTGCTTTTGCAGGTTCCTGAGGGGAGGCTGCTGTGGGAGAGGCCCGGGAATCTGGGCTCCTTTGAGGATCCTGGTGTGATTCCCGCTGAATGCCTGGGTGCTGGGGCCTTAGGTGCTCCATCCTCAAGCTCCAGTTGGGTGGGGTAAATGACCCAAACTCAAGACTGGAGCAGCCTGGGGGGACGGCCTGGAGGGAAGGCCTGGGACCTTGGGAAGTTTGGGTAGAGGTGCAGCCTGGCAGGAGAGGGTTCTGTGGGTAGAGGCTCCAAGGTAGGAGATGCTCAAGGCCAGGCTGGGTGGGAGGGCTTCACTAGGAGTGGGAAGCAGTGAATGTGTTGCGGTGAGTATGGGGTCTTCAGACACAAGGCCCAGCCTGTCTTTGGCTGTCTGCAGGCCCCAGCCCAGCACGCCATGCAGTTCCCAGCCGAGCTGACCAGAGATGCCTGCAGGACCCACCAGAGGGAACTGCGTCTCATCTGCATCTACTTCTCCACTACCCACTTTTTCCAGGATGGACAAAGCAGGGTGGGCACTGGCCCCTTCCTGGGGGCATCACAGGTATCCATGCCACCTCCTGGCCTCTGGGCAGGGACCAGCCTACTGTGCAACCTCAGCCAGTCAGTGCCCCTCTCTGGGGCACAGTTTTAGCCGAGTGATAGGGAGACGCAATTCCAATGGGCAAATGAGACCTAAGAAATCTACTGTGTCTGTGCCTATCTCCAGACGGGAGGCAGACAAGTAGGTCACAGATCCCTGCCCTTGGAGAAATAGCTCAACCATTAGACCAGGAGCTAAGAGACTTAATTTTAGCTCAGGTTTGGTTATAACCGTAGAGATACAACTTCTGGAGGAGGTGCCTTTTAACTTTGGTTTTGAAAGTGAATTAGGGTAGGGTGAGGTGAAGGGTATGAGGCTGGAATTCATTTAACAAATGGGAGGTGGGGGTGGTGGTGAGAAGTCAGCTTTCCAGGTGGGGGGGGCAGCATGTGTAAAGACTGGGAAGTGGCCCAGCTGTACACATGAAAACCACGCTGCTTTTCTCATCCACGGAGGAGGGGGTTGGGTCTTGGACCTCATCCAAGGTCTCCTCATGTCCCCCCAAGTCAGCCCTTTTTGTCTGCCTTTCCAGAAAGACATCAACTCATCTCTGCTCAATAACTATGTCCTGGGGGCCCAGCTGGGCCATGGACATGTGCACAACCTCAGTGAGCCAGTGAACATCAGCTTCTGGCACAACCAAAGCCTGGTAATGTTGGGGACACCCCCATTTCCACCCCATCCCTGCCCCCTTGTGGCTGTCCTGTTGAACATTGGTTTGAGGAGGCCCAAACCTGTGGAACCATCTGGGAAACAAACTGCTTTAAATTCATCACACTTTGGGAATTCCTGCCAAAGAAATAAGAGAGAGAAGCTTTTAATCACTGCATTAGTCAGGATTCTTTGAATTGCAAGTGGTAGAAAACCAACTCAAGCCAGCTTAAGCAGAAAAGGGACTTTATTGGCTCATGTACTTGAAACATCCAGGGCTGTTCTAGCTTCAGGCATGGCTGGATCCAGGGGCTGATATGATGCCATATAGCTCAGTCTCTATCTCTCAACAGTGGTCTCCTGCCTTGGCTCTCCACTCTGGCAAGATAACAGCTGAAGTGCTGGACTCCTTCTCCTCTTCTCTGTAGGCTCTTTCTGACTAGTGCAAACCAAGATCTATAATGGATCCTCAAGGTCCAGCTGGGTCACGTGTCCATCCCTGAACCATCAATGTGCCCAGGGGCATGGGACATGTGGATTGGCCAGACCTGGGTCACATGGCCCAGAGACTAGGCTGGATTTATTTGACCTGATATTGGGGGATGGGTTGGTCCTCCAGGAAATTGCAGATGTTGATACTGAAAGAAGAAGGGCTGCTGGCTAGGCACAAGCCCTGATGGTATTTGTGAAAAGCCTAGAGCCTCTGCACTCTGGCCCTATCTTCTGTCTGCCTCATCAGGACCATCTGCACTCCCAATTTTCCCATCATGTTTTCTTTCATTCTTCTGGAATTTATCCCTGTGGTTCCCTTCACCTGGTACATCCTTGCTCCTCTTCTGTTGAATCCTCTAAGGCCTCAGTGCCCCAGTTGTCCCTTCCCGTCTCAGGACTTCTCTGTCACTTCCTCTGTGGTATTTCATGGCACCTCTCCACCCACATGATTTGGCATCAGGGTTGTCTGTGGATGACTCTCTCTCTCCCCCACTGGGAAGGGACTGGACCATCACTGTTCCCTAAAGGGAGGCAAGGGAAGGAGACAGTTGATTATAGAGCACCTACTGTATAGGCCAGAGCTGGGTGCTCAAGATTCCTCATTGCCTTTGATTGTTCCACATCCTTGTGACTTGGGTATAAATGATCCCATTTTGCAAATGAATAAACTGAGGCTCAGAAAACTTCTGTGACTTCCCAGGTCACTCTCAGAGCCCATGGTGGAGGTGGGGCTGGAATCTGGGTCTGTCTGATGTCAAAGCCCAGCCAGTGCCGGGTAAAATGTTGACCAGGGTACAGTTGAGTCACCTTTGGCCCCCACAATTTCCAGACCCTGATCCACAGCCCTCCCCTGCACCCCTTGGATACACCCAACTCCAGTATCTCCCCTTAGGAAGGCTACATGGTGACTTGTGTCTTCTGGAAGGAGGGAGCCAGCAAACAGCACTGGGGGGTCTGGAGCCCTGAGGGCTGTCGCACAGAGCAGCCCTCACCTTCCCAGGTGCTCTGCCGCTGCAACCACCTCACCTACTTTGCTGTTCTCATGGTATGTATGCATCCAGCCTGGGTGAGGGTGGTCAGAACTGCAGAGAGCCCCATGTCCAGGACAGAGGAGAAAGACAAAAGCTGATTCAACAGACAGAAAATCCAACTCAGATGGGCTTAAGGAAAAAAAAAGAAATTTATGGGTTCATATTCCTGAAAAGGCTAGGGTTAAGTCCTCAGGCATGGCTTGATCCAGGGGCTCAGTAGCACCAGGATAGGATCTATCTCATTCTATCTCTGTCTGTCAATTGTGCTTGCTTTGTGCTAGCTTAGATCTCCCCATGGGATAATAATATGGCTGCTAGTAGTCCCAGGCTCATGTCCTGCAAGCTGTCAGGCCAGTAGACCGAGAGCTGTCTTCCCAATTCTGCCAGCTGAAGTCTTGGGACTGAGTCTCACAGGCCTAGGGTGCATCACATGCCCATCCCTTAATCAGTCACTGGGGGCAGGAGGAGGGATAGGCCTGATAGTCCAGGCCTGGTACACTTGACTGCACGTAGTGGGAGAACTGGAGGGTCCACCCCTGTGCCTAGAGAGTGAGGGAGTGGAGGGGAGATGGGAGTTGGGAGGTGGAAAGGCCACTATGTCTGCTATGGCTGTTTTCAAGCCAGGACTACAGCTAGGATTGTAGGGTGGGGTCTTAGAGGTAAGGTCTTGGTAGATCTCTCCAATTCAGCCTGGGGAGGGTATTTCCATGCTTCTGGCCCTCCTTCCCTCCCACAGCAACTCTCTCCGGCCCCAGTCCCTGCAGAGTTGCTGGCGCCTCTCACGTACATCTCCCTGGTGGGCTGCAGCATCTCCATCGTGGCCTCACTGCTCACTGTCCTGCTGCACTTCTATGCCAGGTATTCCCCTGCTCTCCTGCTGGGCCTGCCCACCCACTGATGCTCAGCCCTCCTCCTTCCTTCCTGCTCAGTCCCCCAGAGTCTGGTGGGCTTCTCCAGAGGGCAGATCCTGGGAGACAGGAGATCAGCCTCCCTGTGTGGCTGCTCTTGGGTCCCTGCCCCTCTCGACCTGTGTCCTGGTCTTTGTGTGTCTATGAGCCCAGGGAGTGGAACTGCCTGGTGATGTCCAGGTCACAGAGGGCCATGCTCCCACCCACAGGAAGCAGAGTGACTCCATAACACGCATCCACATGAACCTGCACGCCTCTGTGCTGTTCCTCAATGTCGCCTTCCTGCTGAGCCCAGTGCTGGCCATGCCCCCTGTGCCCAGGTCAGCATGCACGGCCCTGGCCGCCATCCTGCACTACGCACTGCTCAGCTGCCTCACCTGGATGGCCATTGAAGGCTTCAACCTCTACCTCCTACTTGGGCGTGTCTACAACGTGTACATCCGCCGATACGTGCTCAAGCTCTGTGCCGTGGGCTGGGGTAAGCACAGTCTCCCTCCACTCTTGCTTCCTGAGGCTTCCAGCCAGACCATGTCTGCCCCTTCCGTCCTTCCTTTTCTCTTCCTCCTCATCACGGTGACCACTGCCGTACCACCTGTTACCCCTGCCAACACCCACCACCGCTTCCTACACTGCTATTCTCATTACCACTTCCACCTTCAATACTTTTATCATCACCACCTCCAGTACCACCATCACCTCCACTTCCATCACCACCACCATCCTCATCCTTACCTTCACCACTGTCTCTGGTACCACCATCATTGCCATCTCTATTGCCATCCTAGCCCCTCACTTTATTAGCTGTTTCCTCACCAGTTCTCAAACCCTCTCTCCCATTACCTCCGAGCCACCACCTCCCAGTGTGACCATCACTACAGCTGCTACCATCCCACCTTAGAGCCCTCATTCATATCACCTTGGAGACAGCCTTCTCTAAGACCACCAGGCTGATTGCACTGAGGCTGGACCATGTGACAGCGGCTGGAAACAGTCTCTTTCCCTCCGGCCACTTCACTTGCCCAGTGGAATTCTGTTTTAGCAGCCCCAGGAACTCACAGCCAGCTCACCTCTGGGGTCTTCTGACAGATTCTGAGCCTCTGTCCCACTCCTCAGGGGTCCCAGCTTCCCTGGTGCTGCTCCTTCTTGCCGTCAAGAGCTCAGTTTACGGACCTTACGTGATCCCTCTCTCCAACAGCCAGGGAAACAGCACGGGCTTCCAGAACATGTCCATGTGAGTGTGCTTAGGGCTGCGGCAGCTCCCTGGCTCTGACAGCAGGGCCACTGGGCCCTGGGGCTCCAGACGGTGGCCTGCAGGCAGGGCACTGGCTGTGGGGCAGGGAGGGGGCCACTGCTTAGACAGGGGGCTTGGCCACAGCCTTGTGCCGGAACCCCAAGGCCTCTCACGGGGCAGGCTCATGTTCTATTCTGCCACTGGCTAACTCTAGGACTCCAGTGCCCACACACGGCCTCCTAGGCCAGGCCTCCTGGCAACGCACAGCTGCAGGCCAGCATCACCCCCCATCCCTGGCCCTGGACTCTCAGGCCCTCAGTGGAGCTCAGCCTACCCCTGGCTCTTCCCCCACGACCACCTTGCTTCGCCTGCTCAGGCTCCGGCACTGGTTCCCCCAATCTGTGCTGGCATGGCACTGCCAGCCCTCAAACACTCCTAATCAGCGAAGAGAGTGTTGTAGAGACTGGGACACCCCAGGGACTGGGCTCAGAGTGTGTGGGGGTAGGGGGCCTGGCTGGGGGAGTCGGGGGACAGACTCTGCTGCCGCTTCCTGTGCCCTGGGACATTTACCTTTTCTTGTTATGAGACGTTTCTAACAGCCAACAGAGCAAGCATAGCTTAACAAACCCCTGTAGACCCATCACCAGCAGCTGGCCTCTGGCCTTTTTTCCTTTCCTGGCTGACGTGAGCTCAGGATTGCTGAGGGCTGACGCTGTTGGCAGGCCTGTGGGTCAGCCTGTTTAATCCTCACAGCCAGGAGTAGGTCCTATTGTCAGCCCTTGTGGACAGTTAGGGAAACTGAGGCTCAGGCAGCTGAAGAACCCTGCCCAAGGGGACCCAGCCCGTTAAGGGTCACAGGCAGGCTGGCTCCAGAGTCCTGCCCCCAACCACCGCCCCTCCCAGCTTCTGGGAAGTGGGGGCTTGGCTCGGAGTGGAGCTGAGGTGGGGTTAATTCTTCTCACTGTGAGGGTTGGGTGGTTTCTTAGAGGAAGTGTAACTTAGGATTCATTAAACAGGGTGTTTTATTATCTAGTATGTGACATGGACAAAAGAACTGAAGTGACACACCAGCCCAGGAAGCACATGAATGTAGGGATGTTAGAGAGCTCCTGCCCTGAGAACCAGCTTCTCTTGAGTCTTCCTCACTGCTCCTTCCCCCTTCTTACCCCGGATCCTGTGACTTTTATACTCCTGCGTTTAAAAAACCCTTACTGCGTATATATGTATTCTTTAACAATTAAAAATTTTTTTAACTTTTTTAAATTGAAGTGTAATTGACATGTAACATTATATTAGTTTCAAGTGTACAATATACTGATTAGATATTTGTATATATTGCAAAATGATCACCACAGTACGTCTAGTTAACATCTGTTATATAGTTACAGAATTTTTTTTTCTTGTGATAAGAACTTTTAAGATCTACTTTCTTAGCAATTTTCAAATATGCAATACAGTGTAATTAACTGTAGTCAGCATACTGTCCATTACATCCTCAGGACTTATTTATTTTTAACTGGAAGTTTGTACCTTTTGACCTGCTTCACCCATTTTGCTCCCACCTCCTGCCTCTGGCAACCACCAGTTGGTTCTCTGTATCTGTGAGTTTTTTGTTTATTTTAGATTCCACATGTAAGTGAGATAATACGATATTTGTCTGTCTTTGTCTGATTTGTTTCACTTAGCATGATGTCCTTAAGGCCCAGCCATGTTGTTGCAAATAGCAAGATTTCCTTCTTTTTATGTCTGAATAATATTCCATCGTGTATATATACACCACATCTTCTTTAACAGCAATTCTAAAAAACCTTGAAAATAACTCCAATGCCCACTGACAGGACACCAGATTAGTGTGATAGAGCCACCTTTGCTAGACAGTGGAAAGGAATGATCCACCACCACCCTCATCCACTTGGCTAATTCTCCAAGATAATGTTCAGGGACCCTGGTGTCTGAAGTGGCAGGAGCCCACAGTGAGAGCCTGAGCAGGTGATCGTGACAATCAGGGATGCAAGCTCTGGGCTTAGACCACAGGGCTTCAAGTCTTACCTTTGCCTCTTACTAGTGTCAGTTCCTAAACCAGAGCCTCAGTTTCTTCATCTGTAGGATGGAATGATTACGCACCTGCCTCATAGGGTCATCATGAGGACTGAATAGCTGATTTATGGAAATCACGTGACCTGACTGGGTAAAAGGCAGCACCTGTCTTACAGTTGTCTGGGGGAAGCAAAGGGAGTGAAGACTTCAGGGAGGGCAGGACCAGGGATGCAGCCTCTGTCAGGCATCTCTCTGGCTCTTTCGTCTGCCCTTGGTGGAACTTTCCCGCTGCTCCCTCTGCTCCTCAGTCCACACATGGAGAGCGCCCCTCTACCAAGGCTCGTTGCAGCAGCTCATTCAAGGCTCAGGGAACAGCAGGTGGCCCAGTCTAAGTGGAGAGGGCATCCTAGGGCCATTGCACAAAGATGATGATGAGATGGTGATAACGATGTGGTGGGTAGAAGAAGTTTCCAGACCAATGATCCATAGCATACCAGTTGATGGTTGGGCTGGCTGTAGAAGCAGGAGGAGAGGAAGAGTTTTCAAGTGGTAAAGGCACAGAGGAGTGAGAGAGACTGGTGTGGCTGGAAAGGAGGTGTGCCAGGGCTTTGGGCAGGAGGCCAAGGTAGCAGGTGGGTCCTGTTGTGGTGGACTTCATCACATGATGAAACAATATGTCTGGGCTGGGAAATAGGACCAGGTTCAAGAGGCAGTTCAGAGGCCCAGGAGACTGCGGTTTCCCCTCCACCAGCCTTGAGAGCCACACCAACCCTGGCGCTTCACTCATCCCCTGCAGATGCTGGGTGCGGAACCCTGGGGTGCACAGTGTCCTGGTGATGGGCTATGGTGGCCTCACGTCCCTTTTCAACCTGGTGGTGCTGGCCTGGGCGCTGCGGGTCCTGCACAGACTGCGGGCAAAGGAGAAGGCGCCAGGCCCTCGGGCCTGCCGGGACACCGTCACCGTGCTGGGCCTGACCGTGCTCCTGGGCACCACCTGGGCCTTGGCCTTCTTCTCCTTTGGCGTCTTCCTGCTGCCCCAGCTCTTCCTCTTCACCATCTTCAACTCGCTCTACGGTAGGGCCTATGGGTGTCGTGGAGGAAACCCCAGGGGCGTGTACAGCTGGTGTATATTTATTGCTGAAGGGCTTCAGGTCAAGGGGACGAGCTGGGGGCTGAAATCTAGCCTCTGACAAGCTTGTGTGGGGCTACATCTACCCATAGAAAGGGGCGCCACCTTGTAATTTGCACAAAGGCACCCAACAGGCGGTGGTTGGGTCCTCCAGCTCCTGTGCTCTGCACTCTTCTGGCCTCCAACAATAAGGGGTTCTGAGAATTACTCCTGGGTCTCAGGGAGGCCCAACTCACCTCCCAACGAAGGAGGTGCCCCACTGATCCCATGATGCTCCCACTGACCAGTCTTCTGCTTGCAGGTTTCTTCCTTTTCCTGTGGTTCTGCTCCCAGAGGTGCCGCTCAGAGGCAGAGGCGGAGGCGGAGATGGAGGCATTCAGTTCCTCCCATACGATGCAGTAGTCTGGACTGTCTGAGCCTCCTGGTACAGAACCCCCAGCCTATCTGGCTGCCTGCAGCCCGAGACCCTGGCTTCTACCAGAGAAGATGGCAGGCCAGCTGCTGGACACCAGAGACCACTGTGCCCTCCAGGGTGCTTTTGCACCTCCATAGCTCCCCAGGCCCAGGGGGCAGGGTGTTGCTCTGCTTCCCCTAGCATTCTGCTCTGAGGCAGGTCCAACCCCACGCTGGGGCAGCAAACTTTCTCCTGGTGCCTGGGCTGATCTGGCCAGGCCTATGGCCAGAGCACTGGCCTGGAAGTCAGGAGATCACATTTTAAGGCTTGGCTCTGAGTCTCCCTGTATGACCTTGGGCCTGTCATTTCTCATTGACCCTTGGTTTTCACATCTGTGACATGGGGGAAGATGGCTCTGGTCCTGCCTAATCCCAGAGCTTTGTTCGGGATGAATGGGACCAGGAAGGAGGAGGTCACAGTGGGGTGGGGATCCCCACCCTGGCCCTATTACCGCTACCTGTCTTTTGGGGGCTGGGTATTGGCCAGCCTCCACTGGAAACACCTGATGGGCCCTGCTCCCTTCCTCTGGGAGAGTCAGCCCTGGCCAGGGGTCCTCAGCCCAGTGCTTAGAGACCTACTCACTGAGACTTCACCAGCCTATGCCTGAGGCCTCTTTTCCTTTAGCTCCCAACTTATGGTGACTTTAATTCCAAGCCTACCTTTCCCAAAGATTGGGAAGTCCCATCCTTCCCAGAGGCTCCTCCTCCAGGGCGCCTAAGACCCCCATAGGACCCCCATATAGACCAGAGACTGGGCAATACAGCTTTCTGGAGGTAGAAGCAGGGCACCTCTTTCCCCTCCATCTGAGCTCCAGTCACCCTGATATTTGATGACTGGGCAGGAATGAATTTCCTCTGGTAGGCAGGCATGAGGGTGTGGGTTCTAAATCCCATGCTCAGGTCACAGTTGTAGAGAATCACCATTGCGCTTGACCTGTCCTGTCTGACCAAGCCGGGGACTGCCCATGAAGCCAACGCCTTTCCAAGGATGCACACCAGGGGGCGCTGTTGGCACATGCTCAGAAGCCCTTGACTCCAAAACCATGCCTGGAGATGCTGTGGTTGCCTGTCTGTGGACATGACACACCAGATGGAGAGGCCCTCCCTGCCTCCAGGACTGCACTTGTGGAGTGACTGACGAGAGGAATGCTAGCACCATCTATGCAGCCTTTTCTCTTTTCCAAAGCAGCTGCCCGCTCTAGCTCTTGGAGTCTTGTGCTCTGGCAGACCAGGCACTAGAGCTGTGGGCTGGGGTAGGCTCCCAGGGCCCCACTCCAGGCCATCAGACAGATTCTAATGACTTTGAATGTCACAGAGAGGGAATTGGAGCCGGATCCCTTTTCTCCCTGGAGGTCTCCCTCTGCCCTTTGCTCATTTCTTGATGTAAATTGCCCTTGTGGCGAGTGGTGCAGGCTCTGGGAGCCAGACTGCCTGGGCTCAAATGCCATCGTTGTCATTTGTCAGCTGTGTGACTGTGGACAAGCCACTCCACCTCGCTGTTCTTCAGTTTTCCTATCTGTAAAATAGGGGTAATAGTAGTACCTATTTTGTATTTAAATAAAATAATCCATAGAAAGATGCTTAGCAGAGGGTAAGTGCCCAGTAAGTGGTTATTGTTATCATTAACATTTTTGCTATTATTATTAGTAGTGTTAACTCAGTCTCAGAGGCCCACCCATCTAAGCTCTAGGCCCAGCTCCTCCCTCAGAACATCCTGCAGTCCCTTGGCTTTGCCACCTTCTCTCCCACTTTCCCCAGAGTGGCCTCTGCTCCAGGCATGCTGACCTTTTGTCATTTTAGAAACATTTCCCACACGGTGCAGCCCATAGGTCATTGCCACCTGTCTCCCTACCCCTCAGTTCTCCAGTCCTCCGATCTATTTAAATTCCCACTGACTCAGCTGGCTTATACCAGGCTCCCTAGGCTTGGTGGGTCCTTGTGCCAATGAGGGTGATCGTGGGAACCTCTAGCCCCTCTCTTGGGCGGTTCCAGGGAGTGGTAACCCAGGCTGCATCCATAGTCCAGTGAAGCAGGGCCTTGCCTGGTACCCACCACCCCCTGCCAATCCCTACCAATCCCTACCTTAGCCTGGGTCTGGCCTGTTAGATCATACCAAGCCCAGGGCTACCCAAGGGAGGATGTGGCCACAGTGACACAAGATGGGTCTGGTAGTTCCAGGAACAGCCCCAGACATGTGGCCCTGAGCCCGTTTGGGGTCCAAGCTCTGGGCAGGGACCACTTCCTGGAAATGCCCCAACCGGGTGTGGGGGCAGGGATGAGAGAGACGTTGCTGGGCCTTTGTGCTCTCCCCTCACTCTCAGCAGGGTCCTGGCCTTGCCAAGACTGGGCTGGGCTCAGCTCTCGGGGGCTTCCAGACTAGCAGGAAGATGGAATGGGTGGGGTTTGGGGCCACTGTTCAGGTCCAGAGTCTCTGAGGAGGCATCTGGTGAAGAATGACAAGTAGATGTCAGAAAGGCCACAGACCAGCAGTTTCTGTGTTGCTTTGCTGCTTTTTTTCAAAAAAGCATCGTGAGTGGATTGTTGGGGGAAGAGGGGTCCTGTAGTAAATGAAGGTTGCCAGATAAAACGCAGGATGCCCAATTTGGGGGACATACACTAAACAAATGTTCACTGTTTATCCGAAATTCAAATTTAACTGGGCATCCTTTAGATCTCCCCCTCCCTATCTTTATTTTTCTTTCTTCTTTTCCTAAGTCTTGCAACACTCTTAGAAAGGAGCATTGGCTTGGGAGTCCGAGGTGTACACTTTTCACCCTTCAAATGAATACACATGTGGTGCCTGGGGAGCCCTCTGCCCACTGAATGAGCCCCACACTCAATTTGAAGCTTCTCCCCAATGGCTTCCCTTGTCAGCCAAGGTTGCCACCAGGACACTCAAGGGGTCTACCTTGTGGTGCCCTCCCATCAACCCTGGTCCAGACCCAGCCTCCATCCCCTGCAGAGCCTCCATACAGGCCTCCCTGCCTCCCCATTCCCAGTCCGAGCTTTATTTAGAAACTTGAGGGAATTTTCTGTCCTGTGGCCTGACCTTCTCTGGTGAACCCTTCCACACCCTCCCCCATCCTTCTTCTCAAAATCCCCACCGGAGCTAGAAAGGCTCTGGGGGTCCCACCTGTGCTCACTTCTTCTGCCTGACTCCCACCATTCCGTCCTCGTCCTCCTCCATCCTGCCATCTTGAACTGTTAAGTTCCCCAAACAGGTCCTTTCTCACCTCCAGGCTTTGGGACAGCTGCCTGGAACACTGGCCCACAGAACTTTCATCTGCAGAAAGATGACAACACACCCTTATGAACTTGGCTGTCCCTGATCTCCAAAATCTAGGATGGAGCCTTCTCTCACTCCACAGCCTTTGCTCTCCCCACCCCAGCCCCACCCCGACAGTAGTTATTTCTCTCTCTTACGACTGTCTGTATCCCTGTCTGTCTCAGCTGCCAGTTTAGAAGAAAACATAGGCAAAATATTTGTGGTCTGGGTCAGGCAAAAACTTCTTAGGACACATAAAGCATGCAAAAAATGGATAAATTAGGCCTCATTAAAATTGCACACTTTGGCTCTTCAAAAAGGCACTCTTAATAAGATGAAAAAATGAGCCACAAACTGTAAGAAATTTGCAAAATGTGTCTGACAAAGGGCTTATGTCCAGGGTATATAAAGAATTCTCCGAACTCAGAAATAAGAAAACCAACAACCCAGTTAAAAATGGACAAAAGAGTTGAACTAACACTACAACAAAGAATGGATATGGGTGGAAAATAAGCATGTGAGGAGATCTCAATATCTTCAGTATCTTTAATCGTAAAAGAAATGCAAATTAAAACCACAATGAAAAAATGATACTCACCTATTAGTGAAAACAAAACAACAGCAAAAACCTGACTATACCAAGTGCTAATGAGGATGTGAAGCAACAGGAACTGTCTTAAATTGTTGGTGGGAATGGAAAATAGTACAGCCACCTTGGAAAAATCTGTCAGCTTCTTACCAAGTTTTATATACACCTATCTTATGGGGCAGCAATCCTACCCCTGGGTACTTAGAGAAATGAAAACAAGTCCATGCTGCCACTTGTATGCAATTTTTTGTTGTTGAAGTATATAGTCAGTTTACAATTACTGGCATACAGCATGATGTTTCAGTCACACATATATATACACATATTCTTTTTCATTATAGGTTATTACAAGATATTGGATATAGTTCCCTGTGCTATACAGAAGGACCTTGTTATCTATTTTATGTATAGTAGTGAGCATCTGCATATCTCGAACTACCAATTTATCCCTTCCCACCCCTTCCCCACCAAAACCATAAGTTTGTTTTCTATGTCTGTGATTGTTTGTTTTGTAAATAAGTTCATTTCTGTCTTTTAAAAAAAATAATAGCTCTATTGAGGTATAATTCACATACCATAAAGTGAACTCTTTCAAAGTGTACAATTCAGCAGTTTTATGGTATTTACCAAATTGTGCAATCATTACTACTATCTAATTTCAGGACTTTTTTATTATTCCAAAAAGAAGCCCCGTGTTCATTAGCAGTAACTCCCCACTCCTCTCTCCTCCCAGACTCTGGCAACTACTAATTCACTTTTTGTCCGTAAGGATTTGCCTCTTCTGACCATTATAAATCAACGGCATCGTACAGTCTGCACTCTGGTTTTTGGCTTCTTTCACTTAGCATGTTGTCAAGGTTCATTTGTGTTGTAGCAGAGAAAAGTGTGAGTGGCCTGTCCCACCACCTGGCAGGATAAACAATGTTTCAATGGGCTGTATTAGGCACCTTGCTCACGGATGTCCTCAGCCACTATCACTAGGCAGCTTCTAACAGGACTTGGCCAAGAGCGGGCCCTTCCGAGTGTGAGTGAACACCCGGTCCAGGTTCTGTGAGCTGTGTCTAAGAACGTTCAGATGGCAGCCTCAGCCTAGGGACCAGGAGGTCAGCATCTGCCCTGACTGAGCACCGGCTGGGGTTGCCAAGCCAGGTTCTGGGGTAGTCATTCCTACAGTGACCACCAGGGGTCAGAGGTGGCCATGTCTGCCTTCCTTGCTGGTCCCAGAGCTCATGGGCAGCGTGCAGAGGACATTGGCGAAACCCACATTCCTGTCAACTGCAAGATGGGCCATGTCCAGCAAGAGTGCTTTTGAAGCCTTGACTTGGCTTTCTCACCTGTGTTAAAGAAGAAAATTGGTGAGTTTTTGCATCCCTCTGTTGGACTATTTGCTGTTTTTTTATCCACGCATCCACTTGCCTTTGTCCATTCACTCATCTGTTCATCCATTCATCCTTCTGTCTGATCATCCATCCAACATCCCTTTATTTTCCATTTGTTCATCTGTCCATTCATTTGTCCCTTTATCCAGCCATCCACCTGACCATCCATCCATCCATCCAACAACTGTCTGTCTATCCTCTGTCTATCCCGCATTCACTGAGTTATCAAGGCTGATACTTGGGGTCCTGGGTTGTTGGGTGGCCTCTCTGTAACAGGAGTAGAGAACCCACGAAGGGGGAACAGGTGGTGTGTGTGTGTGTCAGTTTTACTGATGTAATTCTTTATTTTTAAACACTAAAAATGGTGAACTATAGAGAATTTACTGGCTATACACACAATTTTAACAAAAATTATGAAGCAAATCCCCTGGCGATAATGTAACCCCCTCTCCCCACCCAGAACCCCCCAGCCTCCTTTCTCCATCACACCGGAGAGGGAAACATCTTGACATTTAGAGGCTTCACTTCCTCACTTATATTGATAATTTTACCACCTGTATCTGTATCTCTGAACAACTTCGTTTTGGTTTTTCCTGTTGGAAATTTATATAAGCAAAACCCACGTTTCCTCAACTTACCATTAGGTTTGTAGGATTCATCTGTGTTGTCGTGTAGATACAGTTTATTCAAGTTCACTGCTGTATGCTATCCAGTACGTGACCACACGACAAGCTGTGAACCCATTCTCCTGTTGATGGATGTTTCAGATGTTTGCAGGTTGGGGCTATTGTAAGCAATACTCCGATGAGCATTCTCATATGTAAGTAGAGGTGCAAATATATATGTGTTTCTCAAAGCTATATGTCTGGGAGTGGAATTTCTGGGCTACAGGTCATAGGTATCTTTAACTTCACTAGATGATGCCAGTCTTCTGAAGTGGCTGAACAAATTTACAGTCCCCCTCTGCTTGGCTGAGCGTTCCCCTTGTTCTCTGGTGCCACACTTGGCATTGCTAATTTTTGGCATCCTGTTTGGTCTAGTGGCATCTCATTGTTATTGTATTTCCAAGGCAATTTAATGAGATACAGAATCTCTTCATATATTTATTGGCTGGTTGGCTGGTTGGATTCCCTCATCCTGCTTTTTTTTTTTAAGTGTCTATTTAAATCTTTTGCCTATTTCCCGTCGGGTTGTTTGTAGCGTATGTCTCTGGTGCCAGGGTCAATCTGATTTCAGCTGCTGTGTGGGGGACAAACTTGGAATGGGAGCATAATAGCTGATGGGCAGGTGCTCCACCTCCTGACCTTCATGGAAACAGCTCTGGAGCTCCTCAGAGGTCCTGGAGGGCCCC